AAAAAAGTGACTGCTCAAAACTGTGTGGGGCATAAACAAGACAGCAGTATTTATGAAAACCTGGCTAGGACCATAAACTATTCAATTAATGCAAACACAGTCCTTTACTTTTTCCTCTATCAGTCTGAAAATAAGGCACAGAGGGACCCATGCAGAGACCTTTTCCTTTGGGCTGTCATCCAGAACAATAAGGAGCTGGCTGAAATTGCCTGGGAGCAGGTGATGAAAACACTTATACAGAATTTGAAAATAGTCAGTTGTGTGGTGTGTGAATATGGCCTTGAACCTTTCTGTATCTGTATTTGTGTTTGTGTCTGTGCAGTGTACAGACTGCATGTGCGCTGCTCTGGCCGCCAGTAAGATCCTTAAGAAAATGGCAGAGGAAGGAAGTGATGCAGACGAGGCAAAGGACATGCAGGCGCTTGCCAGTCACTATGAGAAGCACGCCATTGGTATAATACTACAGATATAAGGAGTGGCTTTACTGCTGTAAAATGTTTTACAAGGTTGGCATTTACCTTCATTGTGTGGGTGTGGGTCCCAGGTGTGTTCAGCGAATGCCACAGCAGTGATCAGGAGCGTGCTCAGAAGCTGCTGGTTCGTGCATCACCGTTCTGGGGAAGGACAACATGCCTGAGGCTGGCACTGGAGGCTGACGATAAAAGCTTTGTAGCTCAGTCAGGTGTTCAGGTAGAACAGTGGACAGAGTTGTCTTTGATTGATAAACCGAATCATTTGTGCCATTGATCAGGAAACATGTAACTTTAACCTGATAAATAAGACTATACATTTTGTCTTGGGTATTAAATCTCACCATTAAATGCTGCAGATACAGTATGACCCAGTCTGCTAACTGTCTTCTAGGTGCTTTTGACTCAGATCTGGTGTGGTGAACTTTCAGTGGACAATCCTGTGTGGCGAGTGATGTTCTGCATGGTCTTCTTCCCTCTTATCTATACTGGCTTTCTGGTTTTCAGGTCACTATTATCAGTTGTTTAAAAAAA